ATAATTTRAAATTTTAAATTGAGAAACCATTTCTCAAAAGCTGTAAGTTGTTCTGTTGTAAGTGCATTGGTGATACACTTCAGCATCTTCATGCAAGTCCAAAGGAGGAAGGTTTGATGCTTGAAAAGATTTAGTACAAGCTTTTTGTCAGAATGGTCACAGAGGAAATATTATTGACAACCTAATAATCCCTATAACATTTCTGCCAAGGAGAATTGTGTTACTGTTCTGAAAGCTGTTATTTCATTCTGTTTCCACATTTATGAAGACTGTCCTGCTAATTTCTTCAAGTTTGTATTTCCATCTGTTTTAAAAAKAAAAGTTAAATTTCTGGAAACAGGAATTTAATGCAGTTGTGTGTTTCACAGCCTAAGGAGTGCAGAACATGGCATCCACATGTTCTACTAGTGAACTTCTGTGAATACACATTAACAGCAGCATTTTTCCTTGATTTGGTATACTGCTTGTGTTGCAGTAAATTAAGCCAGAATTCTTAATAAACTTACCTTTGAGGTTTTTTAAACCAAAATAGGGGTTTGTTTCCCATGTTTTTGCAAGTGTTACCTACACAAGTATGTGCTATGTCTGATGTTTTCCTGGAGCTCAGCTTCAATGCTCTGGTGAATTTTCAGTATGAAAAGTGTATTTCTGCCAGTTTCTAGAGTGTAAACTCAGTTAAATTCCAAGAAGAAGGAAAGGAAAAAGGAAAAGAAAAAGGAATGGAAAGGAAAAATCTCTTGCAAAAAACCACATAAACACTTCATTTTGCACCTTGGCACACCTTACTTTGTGTATTGGCTATCTTACTTTACTTATGCTCAGTCAATGCTTCCATACCCCCATGAGGATGGTCRTATCAAACCTATACTCCACCTTTCCATGGAAACTTTGTGTCAGATGCAATTTTGTAGATTAAATATCTTAGTAGGAAAGTGGTATAGTATGAAGTATGCTAAACTGGGATCTCAGAAAGGGTAATGCAACASGGATCATGATCAGTAATTTAAGTTCCAAAATCTCCCCACATAGAAATTGGTTATGTCATTAAAATTATGTTAACAAGAAATCCTGCAGGTATCACTGCATTGCAGAGACTTTCAGAATACATAAGTGGGTGAAACTGGTGAGTGAGGGAGTTGGGGGCTAAAAAATAAGATGGTATGCACAGAACTGAGCCATGCAGAGATAGGGAGATGCAAGACCACATTTAGAACTGGAATGGAAATGAACTTTCTTTTCACTGGGCCTCTTGYGTGCTGCCCACACATTAGCCTTTGCTCACACTGCCTTACATGTTACATATTTCTTGGATGAAGAGGAGGGAGTGAAAAACAGTTATGAAACAGATGAATTAAATTCTTTGGTGATGRTAAATACCACAAACTCTCCTCCTGTTTGCAAAATCTTGCCAGTCACAATTAAGAAAAACTTTTCTATTGATAGTGGGTTATTAAAATGGAGATGTAGATTTCTAAATGTATTAAGCCCTGTACCCACACATTTCCAAAGTCTGCATGACATAAAAAGTGTTGTTTAGATTTGGGATATATAAGAGTATATAGAAGAGAGAGGAACAARTCTGGGAAGGTACATGTTATTTCTGGTTTTGATCATGTGACATTTATCAGGGAAAAGGCAAATGCTCTAGTGTGGTTTAATCTTAATTTGAGTCTTCAAAATCTTTTCTGTAAATTTGTCTCATGTAGAGCATGCTGTGGTTGACAGAGTCTTAAGTGTTGGTATCATTTTTGCTATTAAAATYCAAATATGCTTGATAAATTTATTTGATCAACCTGCTGCTCTTCTTTTTTGCAATAGATAAGGTGTGCCCCTTACAGTTTCGCCTGGCATGAATGCACATAGAAATTGTGGAGCACAAAAAGGGAAAATGTTCATTCTCTTTGATCCAGACTTTCTGCATGAGGGCCATGTAGGTACTTGTATCCATCTCTGTCAACTAGAATTTCTTGCCAGTCTGAGTTTCAATGACAACATTTGTAACAAAGGAACATGGAGTTGATTTATTAGCCTGGGTTTTTTAGATTATGTTTGTGCTTATTAAAGGTCTGTTAACTGTGGGTGATCAATATTCTACACTATGTTCAGTAACTTTTCTTCCAGCTGGGAATAACAGTTTTCTACACCAGCCAAAGTACTGTGTCTGTCTTAATGAGGTAGTTTTTSTTGTGTTTATTTAGATGAATGTATCCAGGGCTGGTTTTTTTACATTACCCAGGAGTAACATCAGCTCAGCAAATACGTCTTTCCTGGCAGATTTCCTCTTAATTTTTCTCTGTGAAGGTAGTGTAAGCAGTCCTCTGATGTTCTGAAGGTGTGAGGGAAGGAGTGGTTGTGGAGAGAGCCAGTATCACTTGCTCTACTAACAGACATGTGCTTTTTACCCATTGCATTAGATATTTGCACATTTCTGTGTGATAATCTTTTTAGTGTTCCCCCTGTCACCACGAGATGGGGCAGGTGACCAGGGAGCGCCGGGGCTGTGACTGGCYTGCGGAAAGAATGACATGAACTAGATGGAAGCGTTTCTAGTCACTCCCTGCCTCATTTTCTCTGTCATTTTCTTCACTGTGAGAGTGGTGAGKCACTGGAACAAATTTCCCAGAKAATGGGCATACCTGGAAGTATTCAAGGCCAGGCTGGAYRGGGCTTTGAGCAACCTGGTTKAGTGGAAATTGTCCCTACCCATGGCAGGGTGGTTGAAAGTCAATGATCTTYAAGGTCTCTTCCTAGCTAAACCATTCAACGATTAACATTATTACCCTTTGCACCACTGAAAATAAAAGTTTGCCATGTGTTTTAAATTATTTGAAAATTATTTAAAATGTCTAAAAATTATTTTCAGGAAGAAAAAGGACACCTTTTTTTTGTTTGTTTTGTGGGATTTTTTAGAAATTAAATTAATATCCAAAATGCCGTAGAACTTTAAAAATGAAACAATTTATGTCAATTTGCTGTCTAGTCCATTTCACAAGTATGAAATTTAAAAAAAAAACAAACCAAAAAAAACCCAAAAAAGCCCTAAAAAACCCCAACAAATACATGAAAGACATTTTTACTTTTTCCTTGGAAAAATTATGGGTATTTAAAGTTAGTAGGTTAGCTTACTTTTAATTTGTTGAAAATTTTATTAGGATTTCCCTCCCAAGAGATTTTCGCTGTAAGTAGAAGTTTTTCTTTGAACTAGTTTAAACTAAGGCCCTCTTTCTTGTCACGCACAGACAGGGAAATRCTGCAAGATGCTGGATTAGCTTGTTCGCTTTTCATTGTTTTCTTTTGTAGCAGCAATCCGTTTAGCTATGGTATGCTGAGTTTATCTGATTAGCACTTAATGAGTGAAGGGAATAGGGGCAATGTTGCCCGAGTTACTTAACCCTAATAAAGTTTTCACTACCTTCCCCCTCTTTCTAAATACCTGAACTTTCCTGACCCCCACCTTTTGCTTTTTCCCTCAACTGCAGCTTATTCCCATACGAAATGCGCTCCCACTATAGCTCTGTCAGCACTAGTGCTGCCATTAGCTGGATTTTGTCCAGTGCACAGTGGTCACAACATACATCCTGCTCAACAGTGTTTGACAGTCTGTCTGGAGCTCGAACAAACTCAACTGCAGTTGTCGGCTGACTCCGTGCCATACCTGGGAACATTTACTCACCAAAAAGTGCAAAAATCTGTAGCATCAGTATTTCTAGCTTAAAGCCATTAGGTATAACTGTAAGCAATAAAATAATTTCTTGAGTTGTGTTAGCAACGACATTTTAATGAGGATTCACTGGAGCTTGAATAATTACATTATATAAGKAAATTCAAGAAAGCTGATGTTTAGTAGTGCTTAAAAACCATGTGTGCCACACAGATTGTGGTTCTGTTACCATAATTAACTCAATAAGCTTTTTGTATAACTCATGTTTTCCTCTGGACTTAAACTTGATTTCCCTCTTTCAAGATTTTTCATTTTAWTTTATTCTTGCTTTGTAAAATATTTGATTAAAAAGCAAAATTCAGAAAAAAATAGAACAATAATTTACATGAGGTTTTGCTGGTTAACTGCTTCTTTGGTGGTTCTGTTAGTTTTATACAGAAATGCAAAGTTGTCTTAATACCCATGAAAATAGGTCCAAGGAATTGGATATCTGTGAGATATTTCTTACACATAGAAGTTTTATAGCTGTTGAAGTAATAAGAGGAAAGCAGTACCACTTTAGTTGGACTGTCAATAGAAGATACTAGTGTTGCTTAGGAGATTGAATCTTTATAGGTAGAGACATCCAAAAATATTGCTTAAMAATACAAATTATTTTATGGAAATTATCTCTCATTTCTTTTATCACTCAGTGTCCCCAATTTATGATAATCATTGTATTAATAATAGAAATAAGAGTGATCTTAGCAATAGGTGTCTAATAATAGCAGTAGTGATCCTGTTAGAGCAGAACGTGTATGTTTTTAAAYGAGTTTAAAGATACTGGAAGAATGTCAGAAGTGCAGGAATGCGCTGAAGTGCTAGAGAAAAGTAGAAGGCAACTGTGAATGTTTTTGAGKTGTGTGTGACTTCCTACTGAGCACACCCCAAGCATTTCCCTTCCTGGGTGTSGTTCTGAAGATAGTGGTGCTCACATTCCCAGTTCAGTGCAGAGCATAATGTGTCAAGGTAAACTGCTGTCAGTGGTAGTGCCAGTCTGGAGGTGTCGCACTTTGAACTAAATGGCTGAAATTTTGGAGGACAAATGTGGTTTTTCACTTACGTGACAACGTAATAGTGTCATTTAAACTTCTCCTTGTTTCCATTGTTTTGTTTTAGTTTGTGTTTTTGTCTACTCTTAAATATGTATAGTTCATGCCAAACTTCCGTCCAACCATCCAAATTGGATAAAAACAGGTGTAAATGTGTGCATTAGGTATTGAAATATTTTGTAATTTGATTCAAAGGTTTATTTAAATCACAAAAAGTATGTGTGTGTGTTTTTCTTTTCCTCTCTCAGGTTTGCAATTATGTGTGGCTATATGTCTCAGTTTGAAAGTGTACAAAACAAAATCAGGAATGGTTATCTCTTTAAGGTATGTTTTTGTAGGATTTGGGGTTGGTTTTTTTAAGCTGTTCCTTTATTTCTTTATATAGTGTCAAAGACAGGTTTTTCCATCACAAGAATTCGGCCTCAGAGGTCTATTTTGGTRCTGAAGTTAAATCAAAAAGGTTATTATTATGTATACAAATAGATTTTATGCTTGCAAAATCTAAGAATTGAGATAGRACTCTGGGAACAGCACTAAGATTTCTAGTTTCCTTTGTAGTCAAAGTGGGGAGGAAAGGGAATTACAATTCTGTTTAGAAAATCAAAACATATGAAATAGTAAGTGATGAACCAACACAGTTCTGCAATCATCCTTCATGTCACCCTTAATTAATGTTTGTTTTTACACTGTTCTTTCAAAGGTAATTGTGTTTTTTCAGAKTTAGCCATTTGTGTTACATGTGCTACTCTCCCTCTCCTTGTCCTCAGCATTGCTTAGACACTTCGCATCCATCCCTTGTCCTCCAAGCTGGCATCCCCCCTTTCTGGGTGACAGTAGAAGTAACAGACATGTTCCAGTTCCTGGGGAATGCCTGGGATGGGTTCCTCTCACATCCTGTCCGTGTTAGRACTTGGAGTGTGGTGGAGCTTTCCTATGAGAGAGCATTAATTACATCTGAGCCGTGCCAAGCGAGCTGAGCCCCGACCACTGGGACAAGCTGGGAATGAAGGGAAAATGACAAATAACACGAGTGCTGCAGCTGTTTAAGGATGGAGTTTTAAAAGATCTGTGGTGTGAGCAGTAGCCATTTCAGGGAGATTTTTCTCACCACAAGTAAATCCTGTTCATTTGGGAAAATGGTAGTATAAAAACATAGCTCCTATCGGAATAGTTTGTGGATATGATAGAGAAATATGTGTGTAACTCAAATATTTTTGTGACTGGCTTAATTGGAAAGACAGATATATGCAGGAAATAAAGAAATGTTTGAATGAAATGTATTTTGAGAGACAAATGGTAGGGGTGAAATAATATATTTATTTTTTCTTCAAACTCAGGTTGAGCAATAAAAGATTTCTTGGGTAAATTAAGGAGAGAAAGGTACTCATGTTCTGRAATGAAAATGGTTTTGGAGGGAGGGCCTCATTAGATACTTTCTAAGTTTGGTAGTTCCACTATAAACAGAACCATTTTATTTTCTGAATTTCCCATTATAGTAAAAATTGTGTCAAGTACCATTTCATTGGGGCAGTCCCATTCCAAGGTGGAAATAACTGTGCTTCAGTGATGGGTGCTGGCATGTCAGATCTGTTCAAGAGTAGTTGCTTCCTCACTGATTTGATCTATGACAGTTTCCTAATACTGTAAATGAAATTAATTTAATTGAAGTTGTTGCCTTTTAAAGACAAAAGTTCTTGAATTATTTGACTGAACTTTAGAGCTGTTTAGTCATGTTCTAAATACAGCATGCCTTCTTGCATTGTGTGCAACGTTGCTGAATAATTTTGTGGTTTCCCTCCATCAGGAAGGGATTTACTAGTTAAAATATTTTTAGGTTGTTAGAAGACAATTGCAGCAGAAGAGAATTTCTGATTTGTTTCTGATTTGCAGCAAACTACTTAGAATGTAACCATACTTGCCAAACAAACATCTAAACTGATACTAATTTTCTTTCCAATAGGAGCACCTAGACAAGGCAATTGAACTTAAGCCTCAAGATCCCTTTTTATATTACCTAAATGGAAGATGGTGCTATTCAGTAAGTAACATCTTTATTTATCTAACATATCTATTGAGTATACTAAAAGATGATAATGCATTGGTAATTAAATAGTGKGACTTAAGAAAAAGTAGGTGTTTATTTAAGTAGATGTCGTGAGCTAAATGAAGCAGACATTTACRTTTCCTGAATTAACTACCAGATGCACGATGCTCACAGCTGATCATTCCTGACATATAGTTAGGTAAGATGTGCTTGTATGTCACTCACTGTTGTGTTCAGTTTTTTTATCTGAAGGAAGGAATGAAAAGTAACTGATATTTGGAAGGGAAGAAGGATGACCTCTTGATTTCATTTCTTTGTTCTGCCGCAAACTTCTGGGTGAACCTGGGCTGGGAACATAGCCTTTTAGTAATTTTATTCCCCATCCATAATTTAAGGCTCTTCATGATGTGGGACTATTTATGTGGTAGCAAGGCTACCATACTGGCCAGAGGAATTCCAAGGGAATGTCCAAAAAATATTCATGCGTAAAAATCCATAATTCACCAATGAGTTTTGCAAGAGGTGCAATTTGTGTCATGCCAGTACAACCGGTGCTTTCAAAGATTTAGTTATATATTATGTTTTTATTTATATATTATAAAGATTATATTAGATTATAGTAGATTACATAGTGATAAATACTTATACATAAAAAATGAAATAATTGGTTTACAAGATTAGCTGTTAATCAGTTTTTTAGAAGAATTGTGCTTGTGCCTTAATGAAAGAGTTGTCTTGCTGGTAATCCACATCTTTGAGGGCTCAGCATGCTATCCTTACTGCTTCATCTCTAGTGCTATAAGGAATCATTTGCTGGAAGAAAACATTCTTGCATAGTCTGTGCTGTAAAAGATCCCTGTGAGTCTTCGCAGAATAAYAACTGCTAATGCACATGAATTCCAGCCAAGCCTTTTTCTTATGGATGCTTCCAATGCGAGTCACTACAAAGTGCCTGCGAACTGGAAATACGACACATTGCAGGCTTTGTCTTTATCTGCAACAAGACTTCAGGCAAAGTAATCTTTCACCAGTTTTTTCAGCTCATATATTGAACTTACAGAKAGCTTTCAGCAGCTATGTTTTTTCTCGTTGATTTAAATAAGGAATGACACCAGCTTTTTCAGGGAACTTGGCATTTTGTTTTCTGTCACAGTGTGTTCTTGAATATCAGCATTWGCTATGCAAAAATAAGTTGCTGAGGATGGTCCTATAGTGTGCTTGCTGCCCTGCCTCTGAGCAGCATCTCTCACCAATGACTCCTTAAGCACTTTTATACTCTGCTGTGTCCAACAGCTGACTGMAGCTTCCATTTATGCCAAACACTCCCAGATGTATTTCATGGTTTATTTCTCATGTGAGCTGCTGCTTTTTGGAATAATACAATCTCARTATACCTCACTTTATTCTTATAACACGGCTTTTTTTACTCTTGTTTCATTTTTGTGCTATTTGTCACTTCCTCCTGAGTAATACATGTGGTTTGTCTTACTGTATTGTTACAAATTCATGTTCCATACTTGCAATGTCTATGCAGGGCTTCCTTACTAAACATTGAAATCACAGATTAGCATTTGCTTTAGGTTATGACCTGACCTGCATTTATTTAAGTGAAGCAATCTACCTAAATGGATGTAGCCACTGAAATATGTAAGAATTGATTTCAGGTTTCCGTTTTTCTTCTATTTTTTTTTTTTTTTAATTCTTGCCTTCCATGACTACCGTGAAAAAATAGTAACCTGAAGCCCATAGAACAGATTTTCATACTCTAAATAAATGCGAGTATAGGACTGAATAACATCTTGTTTTAACTTCTGGRGCTGTCAGCTCTTAAAAACTTACTGTCTTTGCACACTTTCAGTAGCAGGATGTGAGGTCCTTTGTAAAGATTAGTTTTGAGTCATWACTAGTTTTTAACCCTAGCCCAGTAAGGTTGGTAATATCCTCAGTAGTTTTAGCAGAATGAGTTGGTTTCTGTGCTGATCCACTATCACAGATTTTGGCCRTGCATGTGCCATAGGTAGTCATAGGAACTTGTGGAAGATGTGCCAAATTCCTTGTTCCTATTCTGCAGACCATAATGTTTCATGCTGTGGGAATTATCCTGAAAGAGGACTGTTGACTGTGGCATTGGTTACAAATACTTCTTCAGGGTAGAGATTATGATGGAGTGCTTGAAAAATTCCTTTATCACTTGTTTATATGGGTACCTGTAAATGGAGTGATAATACTCCTCTTAAATGCTCAGTTTTTAATGTTCAGTCTCAGTGTTGTTGAGGCTGGGAAGGCTGTGTTGTCCAGTGTGAGAGAATTAAAGAAGAAAAAGGGATGATTTAGGCAAGAAGGTTTTTACATTTAGCCTAGCTGACTTTGGGATCAAGGTAGGATTGGCCACAATATTTGTTCTTTCATAGATATTGCTTCCAAGGGTATTTTTGTCTAAAATTGCTCACATACTCTTTTACCGAAGCAATGTAAAAAAGATAACAAGTGTTTGATATTTTATAGGCTTTGATAATAGTTTTGTGAAACCTGATGTACATAAGTCTTCCTAGTATAGTCAGATATTTCACATTCRCTCCTGATTTAATATTGGGGGATCTTATTACTGTTGTCTAGCATTGGTTTTTTTGGATGACAAAGTGAGAAAAATGGGAATTGCATAAGAAACTTTAAATGGGGATGCTTCAAGTGTTGTAACTCAGGGTTCATTTTGGTTCATTTTCACAAATAAAAATCTGCTGAAAAGAATTTGAGGTAAAAAGTATAGAACCATTGAGGTTGGAAGAGACCTTCAAGATCATCAAGTCCAACTGTGAACCCAGCACAATCCAGTATCATTGTCACTCCTAAACCAGTGGAGGCRAATGGAGAAGATCTATTGAAGACTGAAATCAATATCGAGAGACTGGATGCTGAACTAGTAAAAGCTATTTAATTCATAGTGGTGTGCCAGAATTTGGCCTGACTGCCATTTCTCACCTTTCTTGGTGTAGGGCAGTCCTTTGCAAGGAGCAATGGTACAACACTGCCAAGTTTCTTRCTCAGCAGTTACTCTTGCTGGGCCAGAAATGAAGCTGATGTGAAGTGTTGTGGCACCTTTCAGCAGAAGGGATGAGCTGGRTTTTCACTGCCTCACAGCAGCTGGGGTTTGTTTGTGATGCAGATCCAGYGACAGTTGGGCACCACCTTGTCTAAAAATCAGTTTTTGCTCTTTCTTATTTCTCTTTCTATTATGAGGTTSATGGAGCTGTACAAAAGAGGGGTATCATAAAATTACTTCAGCTCTGTTAGAAAATTACTTCTGGTATCACAATCAGGCAAGATTTTTACCAGTCATTTCATAGATGTCACGATGGGCAAAATTTTGCCTGTGAGACCTGCTGTGTATCCAAGAAGTGAATAGATCTGTGGTGCATGGTGTATTTCCTTAGAGTTTTTGGCRCAATTATTCTTTTTAATTGTATGTTTGTAGGGTTTTTTTTAGTGTTTTAATGTTTCATATAGCTTATAAAATAGGGTACTTTCTAACATAAGTTAAGACTTATGTCTGCTCGCCACTACAGGACAGGCACAGAACAGCCAGCATGTACTTGTGAAACTGGATCAGAGTCTCTGGGAAATGCTAGTAGGGTATTAAAAATTATATCTCTTGGGATTTTCTTTTTGCAGGTTACATGCCATGTTTTGGATTTGTCTGTGGTATAGCCCCGTATCTGTTTGGGTTACATCAGGGAGCAAATTGATCCAATTYCTTTGTGTGCTAAATCTGCTTCCCTTACTGGAAAGTGAAAAGTCCAGTTCAAGTTGGATAAATACCTAAATGCCTGTGCAGACTGTCCTGGTTCCTCAGTTGGCAAGAAAAAGAATGTTTTTGTTGGAAGTCAGTATTTCAAAATTGGTGTCCAGTTACTTAATCTCTTCCAGAAGTCAACATTGCAAAATGATTTAATATTATTTTACATTAATATATTGTAATGAAAAAGAAAAGGAAACTCTCTGGGGATATTTGATTAGGTGCAATTAATGTTTTACTGAARCTGGAACAATGGGGTGATTTACCTTTAAGGAAGACAATTGTGTGATAGGTCTTCAGTGAGCTGTTAACAAGGAAATATTGGATGAGGATAACCTTTAGGGTTTAAAGTCAACCCTAGATGATTTTTCAATCCAAGCAGGTTAGTTTTCTTTGTACCAACATCCTGGAATTTGAAAAGAGCTCTCAGTGGGCTGGGTTTATATATATATATATATATATATATATATATATATACATATGTATGGTTTCTGCACATCATAGGCTAAGGAAGAGAAAGGGATATTATGAAATCAATTTTCCTAGTATTTAGGGAAGAATCACATTTTTGCTTGGCCATCAGAGAAGAAAGAGGCCTGATGAAAGAGTGCTSAGTATGAGCTTTACTTTCAGCCTCAGTTTTACTCTGGGAGTGCCTTTCTTCCATCTCTGGTACTAACAGAGATTTGGGTAGAATAAATGGATGGCAGCTTGTTCTTTGACACAGATCTATAGGAGAGGTTGGTTGAGAATCTCTGTATGCTCTGGGATACTGTAGAGTGGCTTCCTCTCCTTGGCAAAGGCCAGGCTCTCATGATGACCTACTCCCCTTGAGCTCTAAGGAAGATCAGGAGTTGCCCTTGAGCTCTAAGGAAGATCAGGATTTGGCTGATGGTGCCTCAGACCTTCATTTGTTGCTCAGATGGGTGGGACTTGCTCTTCTTATGTGTGGCAGCTGGTGAGTGATGTTCTTTGAGTGACCCAGTACATTAAAACCCGATATTCTGTGGAAACATAGTGTTCTTTGCAGTGCTTCTGTCAAWTCTCGGGCTTCTGGCAGGACTGACATCAGGGTTTAGGAGGCATAAAAAACCAAAACTCACTTAACATTTGGAAATCATCTGTAGTGCAAACCAATTTTCTTTTATTTTGTTGTTGTTGCAGCTATTATTTGCTACAGTAGCTGTTTTCCTTATTACTCTCTTCCATCCTCTAYCAGTCTTGGAACACTCACTAAGTGAAATCATGGTTCTGCTGTATTTGATGACAGTTACACTCTCTGTACTTGATTTTGTATGGACCTACAGATACACTTTGCACTATTGGAATAACTTGACTGTAGCAGTTAATTCTACACTACACCAGAGCATGCTTCACAAGAGTTCCATTCCATGTGCTTGCCCACAGACAGAGAATGCTTAATAAAGTTACTTGGTATAGTAGGAATGATGTTTCCATTTCATTGAACATGGTGCAAGATCTACTCAAATAAAGTTACTTCAAATTAAAGACTGTGCTTATGTGCATTTAGGGAAAGGGTGTAATTTCCTGGTCTTCATTATTGCTCTGGAACACAGTTTGGTGTATTGTGTGTAACAATTTCCATTTGTCCCACCTCAGTCCTGGGGGGTGCWGACAAACTCAGGTGGGACACAGTTAAGCTTTTGTGATGCGATTCACCTTACCTGTCTTCAGCTGTCCCCAAGGTCTGTGCTCCTTTTGTAATTGARAGAAAGAAAGGAAAGAAAGATAGGAGTATCATCCCAGGCTAATGTAGGTGAAGAGGAATGGCCTAATGGAAGTGCCTCTCTCTGTATTGACCACACAAGGAACCTGGACAACTTGTGTAAACCAGGCACTTCGTGTATGGAGGGCTAGGGCTGTGACAAATTCATCAGGCCAGTGGCATGTAAGTCTGACTGCTGAAAACATCACGTAACTCAGATTGTCTCTGGAAAGCATAATGCTGGATAGAGTGCGCATTAGAGTGCACAGAATCATTAAGATCGGGAAACACCTCTGAAGATCAAGTCCAGTTGTTAACACAAGCACTGCCCTGTTCACGGTTAAGCCATGTCCCCAAGTGCCACTCCCACATGTCTTTGAACACTTCCAGGGAGGTGATTATACTGTATCCCTGGGCAACCTGTTCCAATGCCTGGCCACCCTTTCAGTAAAGAAAATTTTCCTTAGATCCAATCCAAACCTCCCCTTGGTGCCATTTTGTCTGGTCCTGTCAGTTGTTACCTGGGAGAGGCGATTGCCCTCAACCTCCTTTCAGTGCAGGTGGGTTTGTGTGAGATGTGCTTTCATGAATTTCACTTTTAAACATTGTTTTAGCTTGGTGGGATTTGTGAAATAAAAATGGCCTATTGCATCTGTGTTTGCGCTTTTAAAAAGTTTGAGTGGTTCAAAGCAGCACCCAAGCCAGACAAAATAAAGACTAAAACCTCAGTAAATCAGTTCTGATTAAATCTCGTAGGAAAATAAAACAACTGCCAGGAAGAACTTGTGTTTTCAGTAGTTAATTATAACTCCCCCCATGGAAAAACTGCAATTTTATTTCTTCAGTATTGCATAACAGCAGACATGAGTGTGGTAATTGTATCTATGTGCTGTGTATATATCTCTGGAGAGTTGTGTGCTTTTGCAGAGACCAGTGTAAGCATATACATTCCCTTTATGTTTACCCCTTCTCTTGCTCCCTCTGTAGCTCCACCTTGATGTGGTGGACCTAGAAATATGGAAACCCCCTTCCTCTTCCAAAAGAAGAGAKAACACTTCATTAGTAGATTGGTGTGAAGGAAACAGCACATTTGCAGGAATTCTTGTAATAATTCTTGCAGAATATGTCTCAGAAACTATAYGATAGTGAGGAAATGAAATGGGGAAGGAAATTATATACATACCAACAATTACAAGTTTTAAGGAGCGTGCTGCAGTTTGTAATACAGCAGGAAAGCTTCGCAGGGGCAACAACACCTTGTTGCCTCAATGAGTAAGAACTCCATGATGGCTGGAGACCTTTTGTAAAAAAAAAATATGTTCTTAAAGCTTCAAGAGRGAGATATGTAAGAGAGAATGAAAACAAAAGCTTTATTTTTGTAATATTGTTTCTCCCCGGGGTTGTAATTTTTGGTGCTATTGTATGAGACACTTAGTGACACCATGTAACAAGTAAGGTATTGGGACGCTGCTGAACAGCAAGCCAGACTTGACCAGGATGCTTTCTGTCTCCAAACAATGTTGTTCTTRTGTAGATAAAGACATTGGGAGCAGATGAGAAGACATGGTCCTATGCATTTTCCTGTTGCATACTGACCTGTATTTCTAGTCTTTGCAATGGTATTTTTAGGGCAGTCTGTTCAAAAGAGAAGCATTCTGGTTGGTAGCTGTGGATAACTATGAGACAGTGGATTCTCCTATTTTAGAATTACTAACTGACATCTGCTAGATAATTGCTGGATGTAGGTGGAGGTGGTAGAAGGAGCAGCAATAGCCCTGCAGGTATTGACAAGCCAGGGAATGAGGCAAGAATAAGCTAAAACTATCCAAAACCATTAAAAATTTTATAGAAGTAGGACAGACTTGACTTCAAGGCTGAACTCTGTTGTTTAAATTACTGCTCCTTCTGAAAAAGAGATTATCCCTATGCGATTCATATTCCACCTCCAAGTCTCTGATGAAAGTCTCCATTTCTTTGCCTGTGTGTATCTCTTCTCTGAGTTGCCTCTGCATAGATCAGGCCAAAAAATACAGARCCTTGGTTTTTACCATATTTTGACRCATTGTCTTGGGTTGACTTTGTGCCAATCCTGTATTCYTATATTCYGTTAGCTTGTATGCCCAAAAGGTGACTGTGCCTTTAAATGTGACCCAGAAGAAGGGGCAGGGGCRGCTGGGAAGGCAGTGCGAGCAGTTTAAAAGCTGGGGCTGGTGCGCAACCATGGGCTTGTAGCTCAGCTTGGCGCTGTGGGAGGTTCTGCTTGCTGCGTGCAGGGGAGTTACACTGTTGCCGTTTAGCTAGCTYGGGTTTGKTAGCTTGGGCAAACAGTTTTCCCTGGACTGCCACCCTCCTCTGCGACTCGTGTGATTTTTTTTTCTTCTGAAGCAATTTGGTGGCTGGCAGGGATAATCCGTGCCACTCCGTCTCATCCCAGACTCCGGAAGAAGCCAAGCCAGCKACAGAAAAACATGCCGAGCCTCTGTTTCATCCACAGTGAGGAGAGTACTGCCACCAGCTTTTCCACKGTTGCCCAAGTGCCACGTGGACTTTTTTCTTTTGTTTCTTTTTTCCCGGGACAGGAGCTGCGCCATCTTTTTCTCCGTACTACGTGGCCGAGCGACTGTGGGGAGAGGGAGCAGCGTGTGTTCCTGGACTTTTAAATATCTAATAGTTACTTTTTATCTGTGTCCTGTGGGCACTGTGTTTTGTCAATAAACTAATTTTTTTCTCTTCACTTTTGCCCAAACATCTATTTCATATTGGTGGGAAAAAATTATCAAGTTTTTCACTTCAGAGGAAGCATTTACTCTGTAATGTTTTTTCTCTGAAAACATTGTCTCCAACCGAGACACTTATCTAATCTGTGACAGGAGCCATCAGTGCTGTGGGCCAAATATGTTGTGAAGGAAAAATGTCCTGACTTTTCTGTACAGATGTGGTAGAAGTGTCTGAAGGAAAATGGCTTCACTTTTCCATTCTAACAGGCTCTTCTTTCACATTTCATTTCTTAGCAGCTCCCTATTTCACTGGGTTGGGTGATGGAGCCAAATACCTTATGGCTGTAACTAAAGCAGTTTCTGTCAGGTTTCAGCATATGTAAGGGAAGAAGTCATGTGCATTGTGTGGCAATATGACAGTTCCCTAAAATCTTTTTATAGCAGCTCATCTTCCTGAAATGGGAAGAGGTCATTGGCAAGTGGTATTTGTCTGATTGGAAGAGCTAAAAAGGAAGCTTATTTCTTAAGAGTGGTTTTCACCAGCTTTCCTGTAATAAATGAACTTGTTATACAAGCTCCAAAAACACTTCACATTTTTACTGCAGCAGCAGCTTTTTCTAATATAGAGAAGTAGTCAAGTGCATAGATTATCATACAGAGCTGTCTATCTCATTAAAACCTTAACAAGTTTCAAACACTATTTCTAGCCTTAGGTTTTTTTAAAAGGCAAGGTGCTATGAGACCTAAAATGTACTTTGAGCTTTGAACATGGCGATAATCTTATACTGAGGATGTTGGTGTTTGAGGATTGGACATTGAGGAGGTCAGGTGACTCTGAAATCCATAAGACTGCTTTGAGCTGGCCAAAATGAAACTATAAAGCATTCCTTTTYGGGTACTTTTCCAAAAAAAGTTGTGTAAATAGTACAATATTAAAGACAGTATTTACTGCAGAACCAAGAAGTAACCCTAAAGAAATCTGATTTCTTAATTTTAATTTATTTTCTTAATTTTTTTTTTTTTTTTAATTCTAGGTAGCTCAGTTGTCTTGGATTGAAAAGAAAGTAGCTGCTGCTCTCTTTGGTACTCCACCAACTTCAACAGTAGAAGAAGCATTGCAGAATTTCCTTAAGGTAAGTCCTAGCCAAGGGTTTTCCTGGGCTGATAGTTACCAGCTGCTGTATGTGAGTATTGTCAAGATGTCTGTTCAACAGACTGTGCTCAGTAGCTATAAATTTGGGGCTCTTTTAAGCACCACTGAGCTCTCAAATGAAATCTTTCTTTTCAGTTTTAAAATTAGTTTGGACATGAGTGGCTMGCACCTTTCTTCTCTTTTTTCAGTTTCAGGAAATTCTCCAGTTAATTGCTATGGTTAATGGTTATTGAATTGAAGGACATATGAGTRTAGATTAGTTTCAGATGCTGTTGAAGCAAGTCAATCATGGCCATATTGCCARTTTGCCCCTTTCTGCAAGAGGGTTRATATAGGCAAGGGARACTTCAACATGCTTCTCTTTATTTGATCTGAACCTTTTTTTGATGGAATTTCAGCRGAAGCCTTTCTTATTTATGGTGATGAAATTGCCTTTATAGTAAAGTAGAGAAGAAAGCTCTGTCATATACATCCACGTTCCTGGGGATTCTACTTGAACAGTTGCAAGAAAACACCACATGAATAAAGTAAATCTTTCAGTGTCTTCCATATGAAACATTTCTGCTTCCGGAGCTCAAAAACATGCTAGTTTTTCACTTGACTGAATCCAAAGCAGAACCTTCTATCCTTACAGTTACCTTGAGAAAGTTTTTCAAAGAAATTGGACAGGCATTTTTAGTTCCCTATCAGAAGTACTTGTTTGCTGTGCTCTTAGCCTATTTAAAGATTGAATGATCTGCTGAATTTTGGACAGTACAATACATTACCATCTTCCCAGTTTAAGAGATGTTATCTTTAAGGTCAAATTCCAAAAGTGGTAGAAATAATTTGAAACATTTGGTTTAGCTTCAGGCTGTTTTGTGGTGGGCTGCAGAGTGACTGTGGTTTTAAGTCATCTTCAGCAACAAAAATCAAATTACTGTCTAAAAGACAACTGTTTGGGTTTCTTTTTCAATTGTTTGATTCTACAGAGTTGTGGTGAAAGCAGCATTGTTTTGGTCCAAGGATTACAGCTACTATAAATTTCACTGATGTAATTTTTCCCTCCCAAAAGCTGTTTTTTGATTAAAAGCTGCTTCATCGTTAGTAAGGTAATTAGTAAAGTTTTTACTCATCTTTCAAGCTTCTGTATCCTTGATGTRTTTTAAAAAGAAGTAATTCTTAAACTTTTTTAATTACCTGAACTTTTCAGAAGATGATCATKTGCAAAGAAGTGTGAACCCAGAACTAGAAGAGACGAGTCTGTGGAAGAGAAATAATTGTAAAATTGATAAACACAGTTCTTTACTTCTTACATTAAGTGTGAATGGTTAGTTGTTTTCTTATTTCTTTGATGAGGAAATAAATATTAATGATCTAGAGACAGCAGTATCTTCAAACTTACATGTAAGTGAATGAATCCAAAAGATCTTGTATAGAATGACTTAAGATCTTTACAGAGCATTTTGGGAGAGAGGAAAACAAGCAGTACAGAACATTTTTATGTTTTCACTATCAGCATCTCACATGCCTGATTTTGGGTTTGAGTTTGTGTTTTCTTGTTTTCTTGATGTTTTTTTGAAGTTCTACCAAACCGATTGCATTACACAGAGTAGGGATGATTCCGTCTGACGTTTGAGGAAATAGTAGTGCATTGCTAAAAATGTTATGCAGACCACATAAATCTCATCACACAAATTTTATGTCTGTTTTCTTTCCTGTTTTTTATTATGTAGGCAGAAGAAATGCATCCAGGATATTCCAAATGTAATTATGTGTATTTGGCAAAGGTAACCAAGTTCTTTAAAAATAATGATTTGTAGACTCTGGTGTTCTTACAGTGGTCTGATTGGAAACAAAATGTTTTTTCTTCTCAGTGCTATAAAGATCTTGGCCAGAAAAACAATGCACTGAAGTACTGTGATTCTGCACTGTCAATTCTCTCAGTTACTAATGAGGTGGGTATTGAGAGTGATAACTTGTTCCCTTGTGACTGCTCTCTTGTCTTTGGCATCCATTATTGCACTGCCGGTAACAACATAATGTTTCAGTTTTTCCTCTGAACACAGAACATTCCTTTTTCCTCCWCTCTAGGTTGGCTCATTACAGTTGTCTGTATCAACAGCTTTAAAAAAAACCTTTGTTTGAGGAGCTGTCAGGGACTTTCTGTATMAGAAATTGAATTGTATTCTTTGTCATTCAACCCACTTCATTAGATCATCTTAAGCATAAGCTGTTGAGTGTGTCATCAAGCTGTGCTGAAATTTTTCYCCAGACCTCTGTTTTTCTCAGTTGAAAGCACTCTGGATTTTTGTCCTGCAGTCTCTGTCTCTGCATCTGAAAGCCTCTGGTTTGTGATCCTTGTCAAGGGCAATATGTTAACTACACAGMGGTAGATGAGTTATTCAGTACTACCTTTGTCTTCAGTCACAGGGCAGTTAAGGAGGCACAGTTCTTCAAGTTACATCTGCTGGAACACAATTTGTTCTAAGGGATGACTAGGTTCCTCTTTAGACCCTTTAGAATATTTTTTGGTATGTGGACACAAAATTTCTACAGATATTTGAGAGATTTTAAGTCATTTAATTTCTCAAATATAAACCAAGCCATGGAAAGAAGGTTCACTCTGTCTGATCTCATGCAGAAGCAAGTTCTGTGACTGACCTGTGACTGGAAACATCTCAACATCATAGAGTATGACAAGTTCAAACCTGAGCTTTGTCAGCCTCAGGGACCCGCTGTGCGCACAGCAGATGTGGTACGGAGAGAGAGAGGTGATTCCTGAGAGGAATTGGCCCCATCCCATTTAATTCTTTGAAGTTAAGGAAAAAGACCGTTAAATAACTCTGTAACTTGATTGACAATAAATGCTGTGTGTGGAGCACTAACATGTTTCTGTCAAGTGTTCCTGGTGGGAAGAAAGRCCACTGCATGCCTCGCCAGCCGCTGCTCCTGGGTGGCCTAATTTTGGCCCAAGTTATAGTATGTACCAATCATAWATTAAGTAATCATTGCTTCAGTCCAGTGTTTCTTTAAATATATATTGATACAGATATGACATAAACGATTTAGTGATTAATTTCTGCTTTATTCTTTACTTATTGTAAAAATATACCTTCAGCTTGCCTATTACAGAACACAGGAAAGACTGCTATAAGTTATCTGTTTAAACCCCATCACATTTCCAAAGTATCAGCAGACCTGAGAAGCAAAGGGAACCCTCAGGTGAGAGCAGGAATTTGGGAGCAGTTTGAGGGATAGGTGTAGGTATTCTGTCGAGCAAGGTGGTAATGAAAATAAAAATTACACTGATTTSTGAACAGAAGAGCAAGCATTAAATGAGCCCCTAAAATCTTTTGTCCATCTGAAAAGCACAATTTGGTTTTACCTCTCCTGTTTTGACTAATTCTGTAGATATCACAGATTTGTCTACTTTGCTTTGTTTACTTGTGATGTGTTTTGAGTTATGTTTAGAAAAGAAGAGTCTAGAAAAATATGGCATTAGGGCAGTAGTATGTAATTCAATTAAAAAAAAAAAAAACAACCAAGCACTTAGCAAAGGGTAAAACCAAGTACACACTGAAAGAAATTGCTGTGAAATGGAGATCTGGAACATGAACTCCACTGATGCAGACTGTTACCTCAAATCCCATCTGAATTTGAATTTTACATGTTGTTTTGGTTATTGTGTTACAGAACGACTGTTACTGATTTTTGGAAAAACGTGCTGGAAGTGAAGTGRTTTAGGGCTTGGAGCTGTATGTAGGAATAATGTTTAGTCAGATTAGTTTTAGAGAGGGAACAGACTGTAATAAGACTGAAAAGACATTGGGGGACAGTAATAAATAGATGCTAATAAAGTGCCTGAATTGACTGCAGCCCTATAGAAGATGGGGCTCGTGGTCTGAAAAAAAAGCATAGATCAACAGCAGTCTGCAGATTTTTTTCAGTTTACCACAGCTCAGGATCTCAAGGTTGTCAGCAGTGTGGTATTTTGTCATGGTCATSTGAAACCCATCATTCCCAAGTGTAATCATATTTTCTCATATGAGTTTTCTCTTTCTTCAAGCAGGGGAATTCCTTCACTGTTTTTAAATGTTGGTTTCTACTGAGAAACATGTATTTGTATAAAGGCATAAAATCAGGAACAGACTGAGAGACAAAGTTGCTGGAAAGGTGCCACATTGAGGAAATGTATAGTATTTCATGACACAAATAATCCTGCAGGAAAATAGTCATAGACAATGGTTTACTTTTTATTGCTTCTGAGCATCCACAGTTTCCAATGACTTCTGAGAACCAGAGGTGCTTGGCATCAGTAAAGTAGCTCATAGCTCATTGTAATCCTCAGGTCAAATTCTCAGCTGCTGCAACTCAGGACAATTCTTTGACACTTTTTCTAGGACTCATTTCATGTAASATTTCGAGTTAAGTGATATAATTTTTGTCTTGAATGTTATGTCATATGCRAATATCCCTAGTGCTTTTGTATTACCACTTAGAGAATATATTTTAATTCAGGGGGTGAAGGGGCTTCCAAATSTAGCTAATTCTTGCTAAAGAAAATAAAAAATCAGACGGCCTGTTTCAGACTTATTATGAGTCTTAAAAAGGRTATACAGAATTATAAAAAAGGAAACAAGTTCTGATTGAATGACTATTGTAAATTAAGAATTAGAGGAGGATTTTTAAAAACAGGACAATTTTTTTAAACAGTTTGGCATATTTTTAACTTAACCGTCTATGCATWTTTGTTTTAATTTTAAAAGGAAATATGTGAGATTTGGTTCAAATTACATCTGGAAAAACAAAACTGATATTACAGTGGAACTTAAGAGACCTTTCTCTATCCTCTCTAAGCAAAAACCTAAAATCAATCATACGGTCTTTCCTTGGCCATAAATACTGTCATACTGTAGAGTGGTACTTCACTGCTGGAGGTGCATGGGGCATCAAATGATCCAGTTTTTCTCTGTTTGCTACCCAGGTGGATAACCCTAGGGTCCTGGGAAATATTTGCCCCTTCAGTAGAAGAGATYCTAATGTTCAGGGCTGCTGTGAGTTACTGTAAAGTGTTTAACAGCTGCTCAGTTCATCTAGTGGATGTTGCACTGCCCTTACAGAGACCCATTACTTTGTAGTGTGCTCAAAGCCTTGCTGAGTGTGACTTCATGAAGGGCTGTTGAAACCAGATGTGGTGGACTATTGCGGTGGAACAAAATTACTTTTTTTAATTTGAAGACAAAAATGTAATTTAATTTTGAAATCACAAGTGTCTGTCTTGCATATAGAAAGACAAAACAAGTGTGCATGTGTATGTGTGTTTGGTTAAACACGTGTTCCTTTCTTGTAAGGGGAATAAGACATTAATTGCTTGTTTATAATAAAAATTGTTGGATATATTCAAAGCTGGAACTTGCAGAATTTCAAGTCTCAATGTAGGATTATAAAGTATAGTAGTAAATTTTTTTTTTCTTGTATCTGGAGACTAGCATGGRCATGAGAGTGAACTCTGTGCTTGTAGGACCAGTAAGCTCACCACAAAGGAGTTAACAGCCTAGCACAGAAAGTGATTAAAATTTCAAGGTTTAGTCTCTATTACATTAAAAAAAAACCTGAAAAGCAGCAGTTGTGTTACGAGAAGTGTAGTCTTGGAAGAGGTGAAGACAGCAAAGCAGGAAAAATGTGAAGAAAATCTATTTGCACTGAGTTTTTGAAAGTCTTACTTACAATGCAGATAAAAACTTCCCTCAAGCTMGGAATTTGTTTTACAAAATTATTGGTGATTTTATGCATTCTTTGTGACCTTCCCAGTAATTAGAAATTATGGCAATTCAAARTTGAATTAACAAGTGAGAGAGATTTAGTTATTACAGAAATTGGTGATTATGGCATTCACTTCTTACTGATGTAGGATGGCAGGAAGCAAAAACTTGTTAAAGATGCTGCCTTCAGCCTCAGTGATATCTGAAATTCATGTGGAGGAGGTGATAAATGTAGTAATAGGCAGGAACAATGCCTGAGTGCTTATACAGGAATGCAGCTGCTGAGGAGAAATCATGCTCATACAATTTCCTTACACCTCTTGTTACATGACCATAATTCATCTCCCTGGCTATTAATTTAATTTTTAATATTGTCTGTAAGGAGAAATACTTKTAAGGACCATTTGTGTATCTGGATTTTCAAGGTTTTCCAAGAAATACTTTCTCCAGCCATCGTAGATTGGTCATATGAGCAGATCTTGCTGTGATATTTCCAACAGATCTCATCTGAAGCTGCTGTGGTAATCTACYCTTCGAAGTAAGATTTTGAGGAGAAAAAAAGTAACTTACTCTTGCTTTTAAACTGAAGGTTACAAATTCTGGCTTGTTTGTGAAAAAAAACTACCAGTTGAAACTGTGAATAATTTGGGCTAACCTATAAAAGTGTTTTTATTTTCTCATCAAYAGGAATATTTTCTTTTCACAACCTCTTCAGCTCAATACAAAATGTCATTCTTTTCAGAGAATATTTGTTGCTTTAGATTTTTTGCACATTTGTTTTCCAAATAGCCAGCAAAAATCAATGGTGTTTCAATTGAAAAATMGTGGAAATGTTCAGATGTGGGCTCATTTTCAATTCTAGGCTGTTGTTTTCCTGCTAATACTGTTTGTCAAGTTGAACAAGAATTTCCTAATAGCTACCACGAATTCCAAGTTAAAATRTATTTTGAATGTGCTTTAAAAAACTACCCCTTAATTAGTGGTTTTGTATACAATGAACTGCTTCAAGCTCAGGGAATACACTTGTAAAAACTCATTATAAAGAGATCAGATTTCAGACTAAAATTCTAGGGGGAAATTGAGACATTTATTAAAGACTTGCTAAAATAATTTGAGACTGCCCATATTTTACATTATTTTGCACTTCCAAGAATAGTCTATTTTTTTCTATCTTAGTGATCAGGCCAATTTTCTGTCTGTGTGTTTTTGAAGTTCTTGAAAAAAGGTCTGTTTGCATTATGTACTTATTTCTTCCTCCAAAAATTATTCCAAGAAGTGATGAAGATATTTTTTGTAGTGTCACAGTTTCATACATAAAGATGAAATCTATCCTGATAAATACTGAGCATATTATATTTATTATTAAACTGACTATCATAAACTGACTATTTGTTTCAACAGCCTATCAAAGCTAACACAGTTTTAGCATAGTTCTTAGTCCAGCAAGACTGGTCAGCAGCCAGTTCACCAAGAAATGGAGTGTTTCTCCTCCCACTGGCATGCTGATGATGCAGTGGCAGAGTGGAAGGAATACTCACAGAGGTGGTGGTACAGTGCAGGATTACAAAAGTAATTTGCAAAAACCTATTTTGAGTTTTTGTAGAGTAGCTGGGCCAAGTCAAACTTCTGGGATTTTGAAATATGTGGTCTTGGAGTCAATATATGTGGTGAAGGAAAGCCTTGACAGGCACCAGATTTCTGTGGGGGCTGTARCTRGCTGTAATTGTRTTCAGGCTGTTTCAGCAATGACTGYGCAGAAAGAAAAGCTGTAGGTCCCATCATGGGAGGGGCAGCAGCCAGAAAGAGGAGAATGTCTTGAACACCAAAAACTCCACATTGTATACAATAGTAAAAAAAATAAATCATAGATGAAAATTAGTCTTTAAGTTTGAAAAAACTAGCAGATTAAAATTTTACATGACTATTGACTATTTAAATTGTATTSTGCTATTTTGTAATTTTGAGCAGTAGTCCTTGAAGTAGCTGAACTGCTTATTTATGGTCTTTTGGGTGTGAAATGGTGTTTTCCTGTCTACTTGAAGTAATAAGTGAAAATGTGTGATGTTTGTCAGCTACATGTTTTAAAGCTGTGCTTGCCTTGATGCTAAAASCCTTAAGAAGTTTTAGTTAATCCCCAGTGGAAGACAGGGATAATAAGAAAGAACAAAGAGTACCCTAGCTTGTGACATACAGCAGTCATATAGAAGGTGGCAAGTGGATCACCACACTGGTGTATTGCAGTATTGAAGGAGAAAACGAGTGGTRTTATACAATTGTTAGTGCATACCACAGTCACACCATCTCTGAGAGTCTGTCAGGAAATCCAGAAGGGATAGCATTTATCTTTGTGTGATTTATATAGTCCACAAGAACTATTGCTTGCTAATCAGCAATACTTGTGCATGTTTGGGAGTCTCTTCTGTTACAATCCAGGATTTCTYGTGGAGCTGTGAGGTAATCATACAGCTGTACCCAAAAGCAGGAGTGTCTCTCAGCACCTCATTGCTGTTGCTGCATATCAGAGTACAGCTTTGGACCACCCTTGCAGYCCAGCTCGTTTAATATACCATGCTGCCCTGCTGACTTCAAAGAAACCCTACAGGATGCATGTCAGCTTGGGATTTGGCAGTGGTTGCACACAGTTATGTTTTCATTGGCTGGTGGAACCATTTTGGTTGTGGTCATGGGGTTGTATCATTCTCCGTTGGCAGTTGGGACTTTGTCAACAAGTGCACACATGTGCAGTGCCTGGGTGAGTGTGTTAGTGCATAAGGAAATAATTAGCAGAGATGGAAGGCAAAATCATTATCTTTCTGTCTTGGCTTTAATTAGCATTTAATTTTTACATCCACATTTATATGTGTAACTGTATATATGTATCAGTAAAWTTTTTTTCAGCTGAAATGAACTGTCAAAATGTAGACTACTTCCAGTTAAGCCAACATTCCCTTTYTCCCACCAGCTGTCTCCTCATTCTTGCTCTTGTTTTCAACTCCCCCTCTCCCCTGTTGAGTCCCTGGCCTCCCAGGTCTTTTTTTTCCTGTGCATATCCCCTGTGGATGATGAAAAATTAAAGTAAAGCAACAAAATAGGAATAAGAAAAAATACAGTCCCTGACCCTGTAATTTGAATACYTTTTGTGTAACAGTTTGCAGAACATTTTGAACTCATGTTCAACTCTGAAAATGATATAAGGAGTGTTTAATAAATGTAAGGCTTGACAGTAGAAGGACGAGGTTGAAAATGGCTATATATTCAGTCAGTGCTGAGCTGAGCCTCAGGGTGAACAAATGGGACTGACGCAAGTATATTGCATTCCTCCTTTGACACTCACATCTCCTTCTGCCTGGCGCACTCTGAAGGGAGAGTCCGCTGTCTGGAAAATAAAAAATAAAGCCAACCCTATTGTTAATTTTCAGAAAGCCACAGACACAGAAATCAACAAGGAAGAGAGTTGCCCCAAGACAGGATTTATGCCTTTGTCTTTCCATTAGCAGTCAAGCTTTGGGCACTAACAAAGTTTTCACTCGTAAAACCGGAAACTGGTGTACTGAACAGAGTTGTGGCTTCTCTCTCCTTTTAGCATGACATACCTCTTGGTCTGGAAGGACTCTATCCAAAGGTGACATAACATTTCCATTCACTGACCATTCTCAGCTTTGTTTTTAATGCCATTACTGATTTTTTTCAAAGCTTTTGCCGTATAAGTTCTTACTGACTAGAAGCTGCTGGCTCAGTTAATGCAGCCCTTTAAGCAATTTGCAGCAATAATTGCTGCCTTTACTGTAGTCTTGTTTAGAACTGGCAAACCAGAGGTAGAATGCTTTGCACGTTTGCAGTTGCTTCTCCAGACAGTTCTTAGAACAATCATGGGCTCGTTCCATTCTTTTTCCTAAGCCCAGAGGAAAATTCAGGGAAGATTGCCCAATATTTTCTGGACCTTTGCAACTTGTAAAGCTCATTGCCCAATATAATCCTTTACCTCTAAGGAGAGAGAATTATCCAAAATTGTTTGGAGATATATTTTTAAAATTCTGTATCCTGCAAATTGAGTAGAGAATCCCATCAATCCATGAAATGCTGAACACTATTCAAACCTTCATCTTTATAATTTTCAGTTTAGAAAAGCATCATAAAGAGTACAACCAGATACAATGAAAATTTTCCTTTTCTTATTAGCATGGGACATTATCTGACTTTTTACTTGTTAGTTTAACGGAGTTTAGAATAATTTTCAGAAGTTGACCACAGTCGGTACAGAAAAGAGTGTATTTTCCCTGAATTAAGGGAAAATTTTGAGTTCTTCAGTTTTTCTTGAAAGCAATAGCTTGATGCTCCAGACAGCCTGTAGTGACGTGGAGTTTAAGGGGTGCTTAATGCAGTATGACATTTCCTTCTGTTAGAGTATTTTGGCAAGAGCTTACTGGCTTTGCAGTGTGTGCCTTTTAAGGCCTCTGATAAATGATTAGGCAGATAGTTTAGCCTATTGTTGCCAGTGGGAGTAAGGCAGTAACTCCAAGAGAAGTGTCCAGCTAATGTATTAATGCCTTAATCCAGACCAATAATATAATGTAGTTTGACATGTCTGGCATATGGTTTCTATCATCTCAATATTCTTCTCTGTTCCTCCATGACATTATAGACAACTAACCAAAATAAAGAGAAGCAGGAATTTCTTCACCCATAAAATATATTCTWAAATGTTCTCTGTTTTGTTCCAGCTCTTTGGTTGATTGGGTAATGAAGTGATCCTGAAATTTAGTGATTACCTCACTGACTGTCTACAGTATTTTCTTTCAGAATATCCTGTGGCAATATCATTACTGTCATTAGACACAAAATCTGTGATATGCAGGTACTTTTCACTTGCACTGTTAAGTATTAAGGGTGTTTGGACCCCTTGGCCTGCAGGTATGAGGTGTTGAGCTTTTAGAAATTGGGTTTTAAACCAAGGTGCATTTTGCAAGCTAGAAGTTTTGCAGCAGCAACTAAAGGAAGCCGATTATATCCAGGAGACATTATAAAATAAGTGGAATAATGAAGTTCTTGTACTGTGGTTACATGCTTATATGCACGTGCCCCTTTCCAAGCAGATTATACATAGCCAAAACATATGTCACTGGTTACCTGTGAGACAGTGCCCGGGTTAGGTTTAAAGCCCCATGCAAACTGTGCATTTAAGACATGGGCCTAAAAGGAGCCTTTCCCTGCTGCCCTAGAAGGTACAATGTAGTGTTGGCTCTGAACACAGCAGGTCACTTGCCTCTTGCTCCCACGTTGGCCCCACTCTGCTGTGAGCCAATAGCGCAGGCAAAGCCCGGTCGGGAAGGTACTGAGGGGGCAGTGAGCCCATGGTGACTATTACAGGTAGGTATGGCTGTATGCACTGAAGCTGCAATCTGATTTATGTCATTAATTACATTTCCCAGTGTTTTCTTCTTAGTTGCATAATAAATCATTAGCGAACGTCACTGAACTTCTTTAGAAAAACTGCACGTGGTCAGCATGCAAGATTACATCAGGTATAAGGCAAGGCAGTGCTTTCTGCAAAGTACACTAATAAAAGTTATATCCCAAGCTGAAGGGCTTACTGGTCTGCTGAGAAGGCTATTTGTGGGCTAACATTTTAAGTGCTTTAACAGAGCTGTAGAGGGAGGGCTGCCATCTGGCTCTTGTTTTCACTTCAAACTTTATTTTTGTATTCACTGATAAATTAACTTACTATGCAGTCTTTACATTTTGTGGCTGTTGCAGTTGTGTGTTATGTCTATTGTTAGTAAAGAAATGTGGATAGGCACGTATTAGGCAAATGAAGGGATTTATCTTCTCTAAATTGATGCATGGTTGTCTGTTTCTTTCAGGATAAAGAGGCCCAGAAAGACTTAGAGGCTTTACTTCTCACACTGAAGCTCTGATATTACATACTTTTAACTCTTCATGCTGTAATAAAATTGCAAAACTAAGATGAGAATCTACAGTGACTGGAAACTGCGGGTGAATTTCAGCTAASTCAATGGAAAAACAGTCATTGATTTTGGTTGGCCTTTAAGTGTTGGGTGATTATGATATTAAAATAATACATTCATTTTTGATTATTTATTATCTTGTGCTGAACTTTAATTTTAGATTGCTGACACTGTGAGTGTGATTCTCTGAACACAAAGTCCACTGCTGGCAATGGACATACTAGGGGTTAGAATGCAAAAGGATTAAATCTCACYCTTTGAAAGATTAATCAACTAGTGYGTGATGCCAGCATAGAACTGTGTGTAGCATAAACAAACAAAAAATGTTTCTATAGTAAATTATATTTATATCAACTAATTTACACAGATGTTTACAGAAGAAAATCATGAATATTTATGTTTACACATTTCTTTACTCTTAAAAAAAATCAGTCTTGTTGAAGTTAAAGCTGTTGCCTCAACAAAGCTCTTTTTACTTTAAACCTACTGTTGGTTTTACAAAGAAAYGTGAAAATTTTATAAATTAAATATAAAAGTTGTAATTTATTTGTAACATGAAGTACAATATTAAAGATCAGACCAATTCAATGGTTTAGATTCATCTGTTACAGCTGTGGTGTTTAATGGATTTGYATCAGGACCTTCATCAAGTTTGTGAAGTCTGGCTCTTTTTCTCTTTGAACGTGTTGGTATCAGTATGTCTTTGAAGAACCTAGTCCAGCATGTGTCCATCACTAATCTTTAAATCATCTATATAACATATCCTGYACATAAAAATAGACTGCTAAAGACCTACTACTTCTGTCTGGGTGTGTAGGGCTGCAGATAGGCTGCTGATATTACATACTTTTAACTCTTCATGCTGTAATAAAATTCCAAAACTAAGATGAGAATCTRCAGTGACTGGAAACTGCAGGTGAATTTCAGCTAAGTCAATGGAAATAAAATGTAGCAGATAGGGAAAGAATTTCCATTGACCACTGCAGTGATCACTTACATTGATCACTTCAGTGATCCAGAATACACCAAAGTCTGTAGAAGAATAGACACCAGCTGTCAGTCACTTTTAATTTGGGATCTTAATCTAGATGCAGGGAGTGTAACTGGAAGAAGGAAGCATTTGTTAAAGGACATGCAATTGAATAAGGACAACAGTGTGTCCCTTGATCTATTTGATGTGTAAGATGATGGGGACCACTTTACGGCAAACAMAGGGAGATCTTCACAAATTGAAATACGTATTTGATTTGTTTCTAWTGTTCATTCTGTGGAAAAATAGTTTCTATATATGTTTCACATATGTAATAGTTTCTGTATGTCTTTCTCAATTCAAGAGTTCTTATTTTTTAAATAAATAATTTTACAGAAAAGGGAAAGATAAATCCTATCAAACAGTTCCTCCTGTGGTAGAATGTTGTGACTCACACAGAATAATTGACTTGTGAACAGGGAAGCAGGAAAGATGGCACATCTTGATTTAGGTAAGGGGATGTTGGTAAAGTCTGCTTTYGACACCTTCACAGCCTGTGCAGGAAGCATGGTTTAAATGAATCTACAAGAGTGAGTTGYACTTAGGGTTGTTGTGAACAATTCACTGTCACCTAGGAAGATGGAATAAGGAGGCCTTTACTGAAATCAATTTTATGCTAATTTATATCCTTTATGAAATAAATTGGATTATGCAATAGATACTTCATTTACAAGTAACTATTGATAAAAGCTGAAAGTGTATTGGAGAAATAKATTAGTACAAGAAGTTACTTAAATTAATTGCTGGAATTAGGTGACGTAAGTAGGATTCGCTTCATTAAGGGCAAATATAAAGTGTTGAATTGAAGTAATTATMGAAAGAGATTGGAGGAGACCTGGCTAGTTGTTATTCTGTGGAAAAGAACGTGCAGATTCCAGTGAGTGGCAAGTTGATCATGGGTCAGTAATGYCATGTTTTTGTGAAAAAGCAAATTTCATACTAGACTGAATAAATAAGCATTCCTCATTAAATTCACATGAAATAACCTTTTATTCTAATTAGGTCTAATAAGGTCTAATGAGGTCTGAGCTGCTATACTGTATCTGGTTTCAGGCACCACACTTGAGGGAGGTTGGGGTCTAATTGGAAGGAGTCCAGTGGRGAGAGACAAGAAAGATGAGAGTGCTAGACAACATTATTTTGTGTGTAAAAATTGAAAGAATTTGGTGTGTTTAGTCTGCAGGAGCAAGGACTAAAGGAGTACTCACATTTGTAAAAAGCTATTGCAGAGAAGACAGTAAAAAAACAACCCCAAACCTTGTTCTCCAAGTTCCCTATTCATAGGACAAGAGGTAATTGCCTACATTCATATATTAGGCATTAGGAGAAGATAATCCTGATGATAACTGCAGAACACTGCAATACATTTCCTGAGAATATTGTAAAATAATTTATTTAAGTTTTAATATAAAAGTTAAATAGTATTTCAAACATGRGCAGTATTTAAGGCATGGTTCATCCTCTGGCAGAGGTTGGACTAGATGACTTCTTAAGATCCCCCTTGTCCTTGGTGACCCTGGGGAGTTCACAGCTTCAGCTCYCTGCGAGGCACAGGCACTCCTGCTGGGATTCAGGAGGCAGTGGGCTGTGTCTGCACACACTGGCTCAGTATTTGGGCCCAGAATACTAAATAAGTTTGTACTCKGCAGTATTTATCAGCATGTTTCAAGACTTCAATTTAAAGATCTGCAATATGGCTGTCCTTGACTATTTATTTATTATTACCGTGTTCTTAATCCATATGATCACATTTTAAATGAAATTTCTAATTTTATAAATGAAATGACCGATTTTCTTTTTAGCCTTCTGAATTAAGTCTATTATTTTGTTATAATTTTTGCTCACTGCTAGTCTGTGTGTGGAACTACAAAATAACATCTGGGAGAGAAAAGCCTGGTTTTAATAATTCATTCTAAATTGTCTTTGGTGGCTTGCAGAAATATTCCYCACACAGGTAAGAAATGGCTGGTTTATGCAGCTAAGATATTTTGTGCTTTTTACTTGTTCGTTTACGTGAGCATTCTCAATTTTTTTGTTTCTGCTTTGCTAATCTGAGAATTTTTTAAATTGGAGAACATTCCCTAGATTGTTCCCYGATTCCTCCTTGGAATAAAGGTTTTGCATTTAGTTGTAGGCCCAGGCTATCTGTTCTCTGTGTCATACCAGCAGGAGAAAAAACAAGTTTAGCTCCAGAGAGCCATATGTTTTCTTTTTTGTTTAAAATATCCACAGGCAGACAGTCACTTCCGTAGTTTTGTCTCTGTGGAGGAGCTAGATTCTGTGATTCTGTGATTCTGCATTAACCCCCTGCAGGCTTTGAAGCCATATGGAGCAGATGGGGCTGCAAGCTTCCTGAAGCCACAGTGCCTGGGCCGTGCTGCCCACTGCCTCCTGAAGAACTGCTGTGGCATCTCCTGTTTGGTCTCTGCTCCAGTGCATAGACTGTAAATCCTCTGTGCTAATTTGTCTCTTTACATACTTGAAAAAGGTGAGCTCARGAGGCCTTCATCTGGTACCAGGATTAATGAACTTTATTACAGTTTAAACTACTAGTTCTGCCATCTGTGATAATTGAGGTAATTTTTATATCTTGTGGTGATCCATTTTCTTGTAGCAATTGGYGACATTGTAGAAATGGTTAGAGAGATATGCTCTCATACTACTTTGTTTAAATTTCTGTCTTTCCATCTGGGGAGTCTTACAGTGAGATATGCATTTCTGTGTATATCAATACAKTGACTTCTGCAATGAATTAGGAAGCTGTCCACCAGTGGTGAGTARCTGATGATCTAGAAAGGAAAGTGACAAATCCTGTGTCCAGTTCAATTTAAAAAAGAAACAAAAAAACCCTAAATCCATGCCTACAGCCCCATTATTACAGTAGTAAAAGCCTGAACTAAAAAACAACCAAACAAAAAAACCCAAAAGCAAAAAAACAACACTGAAACCAAAGCAACAACAGAAGAAATCCAATGAAGAAATGGCTCCCAGAGATCCAGCCATGTTCACCCCAAACATAACAGCTTATCTGGATCTACTTATCTACAGCCATTATTACCTGATTGCCTTCCACTTGAMATACCTAGAACTGTAGGGAGGTGCTATGAATTCCAGCAAAATCTGTGGGTTTTCTGGAATTTTCCTGGATGTCCAGGAGGGTAATCCTGTGGTGGTGTTTTTTCAGGGGRCACAATAGGGTATTACACCTACTCTAAATCAGACAATCTCACGGTAATGTGACAAAATTGTATTGCAGCATTCATCCAGTGCAAACTCAAGAAGGAGTAACTCTGAAGGGCCAACATTATTATTTGCTCCTCCTGCATATAAGRTTATAGTTTTATTTTCTGGTACTTTTCCTTCTTACAGACTTCCAAGTTTCTTGGAGAAGAAACAAATCAAACTGTCTTGACAATACAAAAAGAAGTAAGCTTTTCTGGCCCTGTCTGTGTTTTTGTAACCCATGCATGTGTGATGCTGGGAAATGAAGCACTGGAACTAAGAATGTGAAACATTAATATTTTTTTTTTTTTTTTTTAGGAAATATTTTACTCATTTAAATAAACAACCAGTTATTCCAGAAGTATCTGTGGGATCCAGTGTGAACTTTAATATGAACAATCTGAGCTCTGTGCTTGGTAGTGCTGCTGACCCATGATGTGACTGTGGGGTTAAGCTACTTAGCYACATACCCAAGTTACACACACGCAAACACTGTCTGTCCACTCTTCATATGTTTTGTTTATTAAGATTAATTATGAGCTGGTTTGAATTGCCTACATGTAGAAGCTAAAAATAGAGCCACACAATATTTACTGGGAGTATTGTAACCTAAACATGTGTTAAGGATATGGGCATGAATATGGATGTGCTTTTTAATCTACCAAACTAAGTCAAGGTTTCTGATTCMTGGATAAAGGTAATCAACACGGCTGTTGAAATGTCAGTCTCCAGAGAGAAATGTTCTTGTTTGTTGTTCAGAAAAATGTGGCAATCAGCAAAGTGGATTCAGYGATTTACTTGTGTTTTCCTAATCTTGGAAGAGGATAAGTTATGAAGAAATGAAAATTCATTTGTAAAGCTCCTGACTGTGGCTCTG